TGTGGCTGAATAATATTCCAGCCATTGAACCATGTGGATAAACCACATTTTGTTTACCCACTCATGCACTGACATTTGGGTTGTTTGGGGCTCCTCTGAACAATACTGCTGTGCATATTTGTGTAGAAGTTTTTGTGTGGATGTCACGTCTCCATTTCCCTTGAGCAGATAGAAAGCTCAGAGCTAAGTACTGGGTCGTATGGTAGCACCATGTTTACCATTTTGAGGGGCTGCCAGGCTGGTTCCCAAAGTGGCTGCGCCATGTTCCATTCCCACCAACACTTGTTATTGTCCATTGGTTTTATTTGTTACAGACATCCTACAGGGTGTGACGTGGTATTACACTGTGGGTTTTTTCAGTTGAAAGGCAGCTGATTTACAAGGTTGTGCTGGTTTCTGGTGTGCAGCACAGCAATTCGGTTATATATATATATCCATATATATACTTTTTCAGATTCTTCTTCATTATAGGTTATTAGAAGATATGAATATAGTTCCCTGTGCTGTATAGTAGGTCCTTGTTGCTTATCTATATGTCTTTTTGGATAAAAGTGGATTTATTTAGAGAGATGTACATGGAGGGGGGTGTGGTGGTTCAAGTAAAGGTAGACACACACTCCATAGACAGAGTGCAGGCCGTCTCAGAAGGCAAGAGAGAGAGCGCCTCTGTATGTTTTCTTTTTCAAGTAGCCTTTATTTTTTTAGAGCAGTTTTAGGTGTACGGAAACATCTCCCGCAAGTACAGAGAGCTTCCACACCCCCACCCTCCGAGGTTCCCCTGCTGCTGACACCATGCGTTAGCGTGGTGCATTTGTGACAGTCGAGGAACCAGTGTTCTACATTAGTATTAGCTAAATCCGTAGTTTACATTAGGGTTCTCTCTTGGTGTCATCCCTTCTGTGCATTTGGACAGGTGCGTAATGTCCCGTGTCCAGCATTACGGAATCACACAGAGCAGCTTCACTGCTGTAAAACGCCCTATGCGCCTCCTGGTCAACCCTCCCTCCCCCAGCCCTGGTACCATGGGTCTGTTTGCTGCCTGCCCTTTCCAGAGTGCCATGGGGCTGGAGTCACACAGGACGTAGCCTTGTCAGACTGACTTCATCCGCTGAGCAGTGTGCATTTAAGGTTCTTTGGTGTCTTTTCATGGCTTGATGGCCCGTTTCCTCTTCTCGCTGATCATCACTGTACGGAAGCACCAGAGTTTGCTTGTCCATTCACCTACTGAAGAACAAGAACATCTATCACCGAATTTTAGCAGTTATGACTAAAGCTGCCACAGACAGCCATGCCCAGGGTTTCATGTGCACACAAGTTTCAGCTCATTTGGGTCAATGTCTAAGAGTGCAGTTGCTGGATTGCCTGGTAAGCCTACATCAGCTTTGTTAGAAACCTCCAAGCTGTCTTTCACAGTGGCTGTACCATTTTACATTCCTTCCGGCAGCGAAGGAGGTCCTGTTGCTCCATATCCTTGTCTGCATATGGTGCTGTCTGTGTTCTGGGTCCTAGGCATTCCAATAGGTGTGTAGTGGTGTCCTGCTGTTTTAACCTGCATTTCCCAGTTTGAGATTTGCAAATGTTAGCCACTGTATATAAAAATATGTTTTAAAACCCAAGTTTCTTCTGTATAGCACAGGGAACTATATTCAATGTGTTGTAATAACATTTAATGAAAAAGAATATGAAAACAAATAAATGTATGTATATGCATGACTGAGACATTGTGCTGTCCACCTAAAGTTGACCCATTGTCACTGACTGTACTTCAATTTAAAAAATAATAATAAATTTCTAAAACTTTGCATTTCCCTAGTGGCATATGATGCTGAACATCTTGCCACATGACATTTGTCATCTGAATATCTTTTTTGGTGAGGTATCCAGATCTTCTGACCATTTTTTAAGCAGGTCATTTTTTTGTTATTGTCGAGTCTAGAAAGCTTTTTATGTATTTCAAATAACAGCTTTTAATCAAATATGTCTTTTGCAAAATTTTCTTCCAGTCCGTGTCTTGTCTTTTCATTCTCTGAACAGTGTCTTTTGCAGACTAGAAGTTTTTCATTTTAATTGAGTCAAATGTATCCATTTTTTCATGGATCATTATTTTGGCATTGTATCTAAAACATCATTGCCAAAACCAAGGTCACCTAGATTTTCCTCTAAAAGTTGTATTATTTTGCACGTAACAGTTGTATCTATGATCCATTTCAAGTTAATTTTATGAGAGGTGTAAAGTCTGTGTCTAGGTTGATTTTTCCCACGTGGAAGTCCAATTGTTTCAGTACCACTTGTGGAGAAAGGCTCTCCTTTCTCTACTGTATTGCCTTTGCTCCTGTGT